CTCCAGCCACCCTGCGGCTCGTCCCGCCGCTGCGTTGCCGTCGTCCTCGGCATCCCTCAGCTTGTCGATCAACCTGTCCAGCCACGTGTCTTTCAGGAGGTCTGAGATCTGGGCAGACACCTCCTCAGAGGTATACACCTGCTGTGGGGCGGGAAAACACAGGCCGTGGCACTTTGAGGGTACTGTATAGCCTGCTTTTATTGGCTCGCCGCGCTTAGGCAGCACCCTCGGCTGAGGAGACAATAGCCGCCGCTGCTGAGCAGGGGGCGCGCCCCTCGAGCGCTCCCGAGCCCCTGCTTCCGGCCGGCGAAATGTGGGTGCGCACGCAGAGAATATGCCCCTCTGCCGCCGGCCCTCACCCGCGGCGACCAGCGCCACCGCAGGCGGCACGCCGCGTCCGCAGGGCCCGCGGTGCCCCATGTGGCCGCCACAAACAGCGGCACCAGAAGCGCGGCCTGGGGCAGGCCAGGGGCGGGTGCCAGGCAGGGGGAGGGGTGGAGCTTTCAGCACCCGCGGAAAGGGCGCACGGCTGTTTGATTGATGTGCATGCGAGCAGCCGCACCGCACACTCGTGCGCCGCCCTCGTGACGCTCCTCCCACTCCCATCTGTTACCGGCCCTGCCAGCTCAGCCCCCGCTCCGCAAGCAGCAGGCGGCCTGCGAAAATGCTGCTGAAGGCACAGCGCTGCACGGCCCGCATAGGCTCACCCGCGCCGCGCGCTGCAGCAGCGCCGTGGTGGCCTCCTCTGGCGCGTCACGGGCGCGCGGGGTGCCGCTGCCAGAGGGCCTGGCATCGCCGCCGCCGAGCCCGTGGTGGACGGCAGGCCTCGCGCGGCATCTTCTCAGCGGCAATGGCCGGGTGCCCGCGACCTGCGATGGGGCCAAGAGTGCCCGCTTCATAGCGCGCTGGTCAGGGTGCCACGACTCGATACATGACAGTGAGTTACAAGTCCTACTGCATACAAGTGAATGACACGAATGTTTGCGAACTAGGCGCGCTGGGATCTCTCTCGGCCTGATCTCCTGACTGGTCACCGCTTGCCTCACCCGTGGTTTGGGGCCTGAAGAGGCGGCCCAATGTGTCATGAAATTCTCGTAGAATCATAAATTTGTTTTGAATCGGGCGCATCCGCCTTGGGCATTGATCTGATTGGCCGCCGCCGCCGCCCCCCAAACACTTGACAGGCAAGCCGTGGTGCTGGCGCAAACGGTCATGCTCGTGCAAGGAACGATTGTAACAGTAACACAGGAGGAAACGTTCGTCGGGTTACATGGTCGCGGACAGCTTTGCATGTGTATATGAGCTGGTGCCAACATAAAAAACATCAGGCATGACCGCAAGCAAGGGAAGCAGCTAGCCCAGCCCTGCGACGAGCAGCTCGCCCACGAGCTTAGGGTTGCCCAGCAAGCTCAGGGGCGCCCCGGCATCACCCGTAGCACCTGATAGTGTCGGTGTTGCCCTTCTCGGCGCTCTGCGCCTGCCCAAAGCGGCCCCCCTTCGCCAGGTACTGTGGACGCAGCGGTGGCGGGGCGCGCAGCGGGACAGGAGGTTCCAGACGTGGGGTGGAGGGACTGATGAGTGTTTCCAGGGGGTGAACAGGGTGGGCGGCCATGTGGACAGGCGGAACGACGGGTGCACAAGCACTCAAGAGATGGAGTCGTAGCGCGTCGTCGCGGAAAGGCTGGCGCCCGTTTCCCGTTGAACGCGCCGCGCTGTGTCGGCATGATTGGCCGTAAAAGCGCCCCTCTGGCCTTGCGCCCAACTAATCCAAGGGTCTCAATCCAGAGCCAGAAGCTGCCCCGTGCACAGGCACGCCCACCTGCTGGTGGTAGCTCTCGGCCACGTAGTAGTCACCCGCGCCCTCCACGGGCGTCACCACGCCGCGCCCCAGCCAGCGCCGCGTCTCGGGGGCGCGCGCCTCCAGCGCGGCCCGCACCTCCCGCAGCTTCGCCTCGGCTTCCTGGCGCTGCTCCTCGTCATGCGCGAAGATGGCACTGGAGGGGGTTGAAGTTTTGAAAGACAGTGGAAGAATGTGACGAACCACTCGCAAACTCAGAGCAGGGTAGGAGGTTTGTTGATTGAGAGGGCTGCGCAAGACACTCGCGGGTGTCCATGCCGGGGCATGCTTGAAGAGAGCAGGTGTGTGGGCAGGCGCAGCGCATGCGCGCGTGCATATGTGTGTGTGTGTGTGTGTGTGTGTGTGTGTGTGTGTGTGTGTGTGTGCGCGTGTGTGGGTGCGCGTGTGTGGGTGCGTGCGTATGCGTGCGTGCGTGCGCACCTGAGTGCGTGCGTGCGTGCGTGCGTGCGTACGCGCGTGTGTGTGTTTGTGTGAGAGGAGGGGGCCATGGAAGCGGACCCAATGACTCAAATTGACTCAAATTGTCAGCACTGCTATTGCTTGTTCTCAACAGCAATTGCTGTTGAGAACAAGGCCCGTGCAACAAACGCAACCAGAGAGGAGGTCGCATCGCAGTTTTTGGCGCTGCGCGCCCCGGCGCTTGTGGTGCACGTGCAAGAGCGCCACCAGAGGTGCGCTGTGCGTCCAGCTGCCCGCGGTGGCGGCTCACCTGCGGTACTGAGAACCCCGGTCGGAGCCCTGGCGGTCGCGCGTGGTGGGGTCGACGCGCTCGAAGAAGGTGTCGAGCAGCTTCCGGTAGGTCACCTTTGGGGGTTGAGACGGAGGGGTGAGGCACAGGGTTGGGGCAGGGACGGCTTGGGAGCGGGTGAGGGGGTGGGCAAAGGAGATGGCATGGGGCCAGGCTTGCTGCTGGGCGCCACTGTGGCCGGCTCTCAGCGGCGGCAGCGTAGCAAATGTGCTGTTTATACTGCGATGCCGCATCACATAGCGTTGCGGTGCCACTCGCCGCGTGCGCCGCGCCGTCCAACCCACGGTACCAATTTCAGCCGAAGCACACCACCGCCGACCGCCGTCAACCACCAACCGCAACGGACCGCACCTCTTTTGGGTCGTATGTGACCTGCACCGCCTCAGTGTGGCCCGTGAACCCCATGCACACGGATTCGTACGTCGGGGCATCGTCGCGGCCGCCTGCGGTGGAGGGGCGGGGTTTGAAATGAGGAGGGGCCCATCATGACGAAGAAAGCTGGCCCGGGTGGGCCGTGATGCGCGCCGCCGCAGCTGCAGCGGCAGCAGCAGCAGCAGCCGCGCGGGTGTCGGAGGCTGCGTCGTCACATGTGGCGCGAGCGAGCGAGACAGTGACCTCGTGGGGAGCACATGCGAGGGCATTAATGCATTGATGCACCGGAGCTTCCTCACGAGCAGCCAGGAGCAAGTGTCTGAAGCCCAGACGAGGACACGGTGTCCAAGAGCCAAAACTGCCGCACAACGCCACCTCTCCGATACAGCCATCGGCATCCCACAGCACCACCACCGACACGCATTGCTACAAGCAATCAGCGCCATCAGCGGCAAGCTGCTGAACCCCCGCCCCAGCCGAGGAGCACCGACACTGGCAAGCGACGCCGCCGCCAGCAAGCAGCGCCGACGCTAACCACCACCGCCATAAACAGGCGGCACTCCGACCAAGGACTGGCGACCCAACCAGCACGCAGCGCC